GCTCAACGTGTTCTCACCAGATTGAACAACAGCAAGGCGAGACAACCTCTACGGCATTTTCAAATTGCTGATTTGGTGAAAGTTTGGAGAAAGATTTTGCCCAGCGATGCCTACAAAGGACCTCGAGGTGGAATGAAGCGCACCAGTCGACCTGGCTGGATAGGCCCCGGTAGGGTGGTCTTCACTGAGCTTCTTCCACACCAAGACAAAGATGATCCTCGACGTCATATCGTTTGGGTACTTCTCCAAGGCAAGCTCTTCAAATGTAGCGTCCACAGTGTGCGCCCTGTCACACCAGTGGAAAGATTTCATCATGATGTTCACAATCGCGAAGATGTCTCCAAGATGAAGACTCTCTCTGACCTTGTGCCGAACCGAGAGTTTGTGGACATCACGGATGAGATTCCTGATGAAAATGAAGCAGAACTACCTCTACTACCACAGTCACCTGATGACACGACAGTCATCCCTGCCATGAGAATTTGGGGCAAAAAGGGTCTTTCTCAACATGACTGGAAGACGATCCATCGATCGTCGCCACTTGGACTTGGCGTACCTGACCCGGCACCGCTCCCTGGATTTGGAAGTGCTGTTGGTCAACGGTCACCTGGACTTGACCGTCCGTCCTCTTCCCAACCTGCTGGTCTGGACTTACCAGCTGAGGACATTCCAGCCAACAACTATGACTCAGATGCCAAAACTGAGTACGAGCCAGAATCTCCGGTTCGTGAACCTCCGGAAGAACCACACCCTGATGCTCCTGATGTCAAGCGTGTCAAGATCAACAACTATGATCTCAAATGGGTTGAACAACTTGAGCAAGATGCTGCCCAAGAAGCTGGTGAATTTGATGTTTTCTCAGCTCTTCAAGAAACTGAAGAGGCCTTCACTATCAGCTTTGACATTGACGTGGAGACCCACCGTCAAAGAAAGGCCTTGGAACGAAATCCCGTCCTCTTCCTCACCAAGAAAATGAACAATGCCGAAGTTCAGTTGACCAAGCTGACAGCTGAACATCGCGAGCTCTTCACCAGAGCAAAGACCAAGGAGGTGGACAGTTTCTTGAAGAACCAGGCAGTTCGAAAGTGTCTCAACAATGAAGAGATCAGGCGTGCCGTTGATTCAAACCGAATCATACGTGCCCGCTGGGTTTTGACATGGAAACAAACGGCTCCAGATGAAATTGAATCAGCCAAGAAGGAAGCGCAAGAAGATCCCAAAACAGTTTTGACCAAAGATGGCGCCAAAAAGGCCAAGGCGCGAATTGTTTTGCTGGGTTTCCAACACCCATCGCTGCTTGACCGTTCTTTCAAGACAGCTGCTCCTGTGCAAAGCATGGTTGGTCGAAACCTCCTTTACCTTCTTGCCACCCATCATCAATGGCAGATTCATGGTTTGGATTTAGCGACAGCGTTTTTGCAAACTCAGCCAACAGAGGCTGACCAGGAGATTTGGACAACTGGCGTAGCAGAACTGAGGACAGCTCTTGGTTTGTCCGATTCCGGTATCATGCGGATCCTCCGAAACATATATGGCTCCACCACAGCTCCAAGAGGTCTTTGGCTTGACCTGCACAAGAAGCTGGTTGGTTTAGGCGCTGTGCCTATCCTTGGTGAAAGATGTTTGTGGGGATGGTTTTCATCAACCGAGAAGGATGAGACCGGCAAGTTCCCAAAACTACTTGGTGCCATTGGAGGTCATGTAGATGATTTTCATGTTGTTGGAGATACAAAAAGCGAAGAATGGCAAGTTATTTTCAACAAAGTTTTGTCTGCATACCGCTGGGGAACTTCCAAACAAGGTTCCTACCGACATGCTGGAACTGACATCCAGACTGTCACTCAGAAGAATGGAGAGTTTTCAATCCGCGTCAACCAGGATGCATACATTGAGACCGTGATGGACGTCTCAATTGAGCCAGAACGTTGGAGCCAACAAGGTCCACTCACCAAAAGTGAAATTGCTGCCTGCCGCACAGCTTTAGGTGCACTGCAATGGCTGGCCATACAGACACAGCCTCAACTTTGTGCACGTTGCAATTTGCTTTTAACTGAAGTTGTGACAAATGGTACAATTGAAACTGCACGAGAGATTCAACAAATGGTTTCAGAAGTTCGTGCAGATCCTCATTGCCTTGAGTTTTTCAAACTGCCAGGTACTCGCAAATGGACTGATGTGGTTTTCGTTTCCATGGGCGATCAATCACATGCCAATCGTCCTCAAGGAGACTCCACAGGTGGTTTGCTGACCTTAGCTGCTGGACCTGATGTTTCGTCTGGCAAGGTGGTCTTGATGAACCTTCTAGCCTGGCGAAGCTGGAAGCTCAAGCGCAAGGCAATTGGTAGCAATGATGCTGAAGTTCAAAGCATTCTTGAAGCAGAAGATCAGAACTTTAGAGTCAGAATGCTATGGAGTGAACTTCATGGTGCAGGACTTGATCGACCTGAACGACGTGCTGACTTGGTGGAATCAGCAGAGAACCATGCATGTATGGTAGCTGGAATTCTTTGCACAGACTCGAGAGGTGGCTATGATGCCATTGAAGTGAACGAGTCACCGCTGCTTGGACTTTCAAACATGCGTGCAGCTCTTCAAGCCTTCCAGCTGCGTGACAACCTGAAGAGGGTGAACTGCGATCTGAGATGGGTTGCTTCAGATTACGACCTTGCTGATGCCTTCACCAAGAAACGAGGCGACAGCAGAGTTGGTCTTTTGAAATTTCTGAAGAGCCGACACTGGTCGGTAGCCTATGATCCGAATTTCATAGCTGCCAAAAGAAATAGGAAGATTGGCAAGACGGCGATCCAGAAGGTCGACGATGCCTTGGGCGACGCTTCGGTGCCTTTGACTGCCAATGGATCCTTTGAGCACTACGCAGAGCATGCGCTCGCAATCAGTGCTGGCCTTCATTCAGATCGAGCCCTTCAGCGTGAGCTCGCAATTAATGCTTATGATCTTTTTCATGGCGACTTGCATGAGCTCGCAATCACTGCTGGATCACCAGAAGTTCAGGTCGGATCGTTTTTAGGTTTCTCTCCTGAGCACAGTACAGAGACTCAACGCCTGAGCCCTTTTTGTACTGGTGCAACTGCCATCAGACTTGTCAGGTCGTTGAGTCATGGAGAACACCAACTGCTCCTTGGCTCAGGAGGGGCCCCTTTTTAGTGTGCCGTCCAATGCTGCCAATGGCGATTCCCTGACCTCTGGTGTCAGTGAAAAACCAGTGCTGTGTGCGCTTCTTCTGCGAGTGGTGGTGGCTGAGACTATTTCCTTTTCAACAACTGCGTGAGGCAAGTGAGTTGGGATTGGAGGGGTCAATAGCCCAATACGATCCGCTGTGCTCCCGCTACAGGTACCCCATTTGGCTGGATGGTTTGTTTGGTGGAAAATCCTGTTCAAAGGAAGGATTGAGGGGTACCCCTATTTCAGGAAACCACCATTTGGTGTCTATGTTGCATTGCATAGTGCAAGTAAGAATGTCTCAGAAATATCGTCTTGGTTTGACGGGCAACACAGCACCAAGATATCCAAGATGCAACGGATGCTGCGTGTTTTTGTGAAGTGGATAACTTGATCTTTTTGTGGTAAGCCCAATAATGAAACATCCCATTACCCTTAGGGTAAATTAACATCCCCTCTGGTTATGACTTAACATTGCCATGGAAAGATCCACCCATTTCTTAGTTCGGTAAACCACCTATTTACCTATGGGCCATGGCTTAACCATGACGAACTGTGAACGTCACCAGGTTGGGTCGATGGTGGATGTTCCACATCAATCATGGGCTGGGGGTCATAAACACCCGCTGCGAATGGCTAGGATAGACCCACTGTTTCCCTACAAAATGACAAAATGGTTGCGTTTGCAAGGGTTTTACTGACAGCATCGTTCTATCAAATATCCAAAAACAACTCTTCTGGAATGATCCAAGTTGCATCAAATATAAAATATCAAATCCGTTGGCCCTCTTTAGGGGTTGATTTTGTTTCTTTGTCATGTTGAACCCAAAGGTCGGGTACACGATTTCCCCATCAACAAAGTGTTGAAAAGTTGGTGTTCTTGACCATTCACAGAGTCTACTTGGTCTGCTTTTCTTCAATGGACATTTCTGGGTCCTTGGTTTTTGGGGCACATCCATTATCATCCATTGAGCTCCACAAATGGATGAGCTCCATATTTCTACTATTGTGTTGTAAACCTCTGAAAAATTGTACCAGAATATACCAGTACTACCCTCTGCTAATTTAACATAGCCGTGGAAGCCATGGCCCTAATCGAAATAGATGGAGTTTTCCCATTAAAATCATGAAAAAACCTCCATATTTCGTTCAGGGATTGTCCGTGGCTATGTAACAAATAACCAGAGGGTAACATCGGTAACATCCAAAAAAACATAGCTCATTGCATTGGCTCATTGCCATGACCTATGCTGATATCTTAATTGTCCTGGGGGAGTTGCCGCACCAGAAATTTTGATCCTGAATAAAAGCATACAAAGCATCCCATCTTTGTAACTTGTAGGAATTTAGTATTGCCTAATGAATAAATAGGAATAGGAATTTAGTAAAGGAATTGATTTAATCTTTAGTATTGCCATTTTTAGAACCTTAATGAGTTCAGAAACCTGCGCAACGGAACTCCAAAAATCCCACGGTGCTCCCATTGTTCGTGGTTTGGTCCGCAACGTTTGATGGTGAACTACCTTGAAGCTCACCATTTTTGCCCAGCCATTTATTGTATGCCATCACCATTGTGGCCCAGAAACAACAGCTGGTGCCCCACTGCTCCCCAGTTCCCACACTTCATTCCTAAGCCCCCATCTTTGATGATTTTCAGCACCCTTTCCATCCCTTCCAAAAAAACACATGATTCATTATTCCATTATACTTACATCAGTTTTATCCCATTCACCATGTTTTTTGCTTATTAACATTACATAAACCCACCTGAAAAATCACCAACACCACGACTTCCAGTTTCGCAGTTTGTTCCAGGCGACGCTTCCAGGAATCACTGAGGGAGGTCCTCCCTTCCCTTCTGCCACTTCGTTGGGATCGCGCACATCGATCACCAAAGGGTCCTCCAGACCCTGACGCGACAAGGTCACCGTGCGGGAAGCATCTATGTAATGTCCGGAATTTGGGATCCCATATGTATATGTAATGGATTCAGTGGGTTGTTGTAAATAACTTAAATAACTATTTCATGCATCTGGAACGTGGGCATTGACATCTGATTGATATGCCTAGCTCATGGGATAGTGGGCAGACGTGAAGGAGGTTTTTTCAATGGCATCTTCCAAGTCCAAAGATACTTGTCCATTTATCAGATTGCATTCCACTGGTTTATTAGTGATCATCAACAGTTGTTTAATGAACATTTTAATACTTTGGGATAGTACCACTGATTTCGGACTAGTCAAATTCGCCTAATTCGCCTATCTTTGAAGACGTTGGAGTCTTTCTGGCATCCCAAGTGTGGATCCGGGTTTGTCCAAAATCCTATGGTTCTTGTTTGGATTTCTAGGGGACCTGGTCCCGTTACTGTGATTTTTTTTGGTATACAAACCAATTTCAGATCTACATGTACCATCCACGCACTCCCACATCACTTGATCCGCTAAGAATCACTGATGCATGCTGTTTACGATACAAATGTTTGTTGGTTTTGTTGGTTGTTGTTGTTTTGTTGGTTTCTTCCACCAATAGCCTTGATTCGGTTTTACATATTTTCTGAAAATCAACCAATGGTGATGTTTCCATGTCTCATCATTTGACCCACATCTTTGAAATGGGTACAATACTATGATATTGATGAGATCTAACTATCTCAGCTGTTGATCCCATGTGGTTATGAATCAAAACCCTGGCACCCTAGGTCCCTAGGTACCCTAAAATGGTTGGCTAATGGACGGTGATTCCCCTATGATAGTAATATGTTTTGACACATCCCCGTATATCAATTTTTCCCACTTCTCATGGGCCAGTGGCACTGACCCCATCGCCTTCAAGACTTCCGCTGTGGCTTTGTCCACCATGGCGCGGCTGGATACTGGACAAAGCAGGGCGCAAACTGGTGCTGAAAATCGGCAGTTTATGCGTCCAAGGCTACCCACGAAAAAAGGAAAACCTATAGCAATCTTACCATAATCTTAATAGCACCTTACCAAATTCTACCCTTTTGCACTTTGCTAAAAACCACTAAGAAATGGAAAGGCAAAAGAAAGGTTCACTTCAGCGTTTTAGTAGGTATTGAGATGTATCCAAGGGTAAACCAAATAGGAAACCCATGGTTAGCCCAGGAAATGATCTGCACATGTTTGATTTTCCATATTTAACTCAGCTTAGCGGCGGGTGAACAAGGATTGAACCATATTACATCAACCATTTTGTGGGATATCCGCCGACTCCTGCCTAGCCTTGTGCAAGCAAACTGCTACGTGGCACTTTTTAGCCACCCTTGAAAACCCTTAAAAGCCTTAAAACCCCAAAAAGCTTCAAACTGGCCGCAACTTGTCTATTTTCTTAATTGATATTCATGATTTATATGCTGGCCTCCCCCCAAAAGGGGTCGGCAGCAACAGGGCGTTAGCCCTTTTTAATTTAATGGGAGAACAGTTTTCCATACCCGTACGGAATTCCATTTTATCTTAGTTTCCATATCTGTGTCGAGACTTTAACTGACCTGCGACACTTCAGGACACTTTGTTCAGCAGCCTTTTCAGACGTTGCGAAAGGAGACTGCTACCCCAATGCAATGCATTAATTCCATCTCCTTTCACGAAAGAACCACTGCCTGGGCTCGGTGCCGCCATTTCGAAATGGCGACGGAGGGCATCGCTGGCTTTCAATGAGTTTATCATTGGGAATATTTAAGGAAAAGTCTACAGGATTTTCATGGATTTTCTCCACCAAATCTGGGTGGTTTTTCCTGCAAAGCAGCAAGACTAAAACTATGGGATACTTACAACGGTAAAAGCGACGTGTTTACAATTTTTCTGAGGATGTTCATCGGCAAAGTAATTCTAGTACCATGAATGTATCTGGTATATCATGTCTGTACATTGTTGCACATTTACTCTTAGAACCACCCAAATGTAGATAAATCAAGGACTTCTGGCTATGTGGCTCACATGAATAAGACTAAGCCTATGGTTTCAGATCCAAAAACATATGCTTCTGAGCTGTAGAATTTGAGACAGCTTCAATAGATCCTGTTGACCACTTCTTAGCTGAATAGTGCAATGAAAATAAAAAGTAAGTCAAAACACCGCCCGCTAGATTGTTCAATTACTTTGCATCTATTAGTGTGCGTATGTAGAAGAAAATGTAGATGGATCAAATTCGCTAAGTATTTATACCATTTCATGAAGGCTAAACCTGACTTGCATGACTTTGGACTGATCTTGAAAGAAGCAAAACATGCCTGAGTACAGCACTCAGCTGAAGCCAAACCTCTTGTCTAGGCCTCAGAAAGGCGCTTGATGTTGGCTGGCTCCGAAGCCACAACTGTCTGGCTTCTGGTCTTGTTTCAACAAGCCACACAGCCCAACGCTGAGCACCAAGCCTTCGAGCATCAGCTCTGAAGGCCGTGGGAGGAAAGGCTCCCAGCCCTCCAAAAGCAACGGCAAGGCAGGGTGATCAGAAGAGAACATCGGATAATCATCAAAGGTATCCCGCTGTGAAGAATGCATGTTCCGGTGATGTTACTAAAGAGTTCCCATTATTAGAGGGTCCAAGGTAGACCTATGATGATCCAAATTAACTAAAGTTTAGCCTTCACGAACTTGGGCACCACCTTGAAGCTATGGTGCGAAATGGTCCGCACACTTTTCTTCGCATGGGAACGTATGGTGATGATTGCTAAAATTTTGCGTCATCAAAAGCTGATTCGGACGGATATGCAGTTTTCTTTTTTCCCCTATCAGATCTATCAGTACAAGTGCGTCTTCTGTAACAGGTGTCCCACACTTCTACCCAGGTATGGGCCCGAAGCTAGCAGTGTCAACCTTTCCAACGCATGGGTTGCTCCAAAACATGGCTTGTAATTGTGGGAGGAAACCAAAAGAAACGACAACAAACACAAAGGAACTAGCCAAAATCAGTTCTTCTTAGATTATCTCATTTTTCCGTTGGTATCCTTTGATTTCCTATGATTTCCTTTGGTTTGGTGCTGGGTGGATTCTATGGTTTTCCTTTGGTTTCCAAGGGGGGAACAGGAACATAAAACCCAAGGTCTAAGGAGGCTATAAGCCCATGGAATGCACCAATCATGCCTGTTACAAAGCAGGCTGCTAGATCTAAGTACCTATAAAATAGGTATGTGATAAGTGATAAAAGTCTAGGATAAAATGCTCAATTCTATGGCTACTTGCAGATATGGAAGGTATTTTAAATGGAAGGCAATTATATAGTATACACATTAAGTTGGAGATATGTATATTATGTATATTTTATTTATTATCAATAAATGGAAGTCATAAACCAACGTAAAACTGGGAGGGCGCCATCACATCATCTTGGTGTCCGAAAACTGGGCAGCCGACCACTCCGGAGCAGTTGCCACCCTGCATGCTGTGGATCATTGAGTTCGATCATTTTTTCCCCATCACGATGTTAAATTGCAAGAGGGTACATCAATATCAGCCCATAAATCGCAATGTTAGTTGCATTGGTGGGAAATAAAACTATACGATTTTTGCACCGAGGGGAACACCAAAGAGCACGATCTAGAGCACGATTTTTGCACGGAGGGGAGCACCAAAACAGCACGATTTCGAGCACGATTTTTGCACGGAGGGGAGCACCAACTAGCACGATCTAGAGCACGATTTTTGCACGGAGGAGAACACCAAAGAGCACGATCTAGAGCACGATTTTTGCACGGAGGGGAGCAACAAAACAGCACGATTTCGAGCACGATTTTTGCACGGAGGGGAGCACCAACTAGAACGATCTAGAGCACGATTTTTGCACGGAGGAGAACACCAAAGAGCACGATCTAGAGCACGATTTTTGCACGGAGGGGAGCACCAAAACAGCACGATTTCGAGCACGATTTTTGCACGGAGGGGAGCACCAACTAGACGATCTAGAGCACGATTTTTGCACGGAGGAGAACACCAAAGAGCACGATCTAGAGCACGATTTTTGCACGGAGGGGAGCAACAAAACAGCACGATTTCGAGCACGATTTTTGCACGGAGGGGAGCACCAACTAGAACGATCTAGAGCACGATTTTTGCTAGCACGATCACGATTTTTGCACGGAGGAGAACACCAAAACAGCACGATCTAGAGCACGATTTTTGCACGGAGGGGAGCACCAAAACAGCACGATTTAGAGCACAAATTTTGCACGGAGGGGAGCACCAACTAGCACGATCTAGCGCACGATTTTTGCACGCAGGAGAACACCAAGGAGCACGATCTAGAGCACGATTTTTGCACGGAGCGGAGCACCAACGAGCACGATCTAGAGCAGGATTTTTTGCACGAAGAGGAACTCCAAAAAAGCACGGTCCAGACCACGTCTTTCTCCAAGCAGAAGAATTTTCACGGAGCCCACACCAAAGAGCACGATCTAGGGCACGATTTTTGCACGGAAGGGACCACCAAAACAGCACGATTTAGAGCACGATTTTTGCACGGAGGGGAGCACCAAAACAGCACGATTTAGAGCACGATTTTTGCACGAAGGGGAGCACCAACTAGCACGATCTGGAGCACGAGTTTTGCACGGAGGAAAACACCAACTAGCACGATCTAGAGCACGATTTTTGCACGGAGGAGAACACCAAAACAGCACGATCTAGAGCACGATTTTTGCACGGAGGGGAGCACCAAAACAGCACGATTTAGAGCACAAATTTTGCACGGAGGGGAGCACCAACTAGCACGATCTAGCGCACGATTTTTGCACGGAGGAAAACACCAAGGAGCACGATCTAGAGCACGATTTTTGCACGGAGGGGAACACCAAAACAGCACGATTTTGGGCTACACCCAAGATTTGATATTTCCCTTTATCAATCCTAGTTTACTCTTTGGCGGGTGAACCCGTCACCAAAGTTTTCCCACTTGTAAAGAAAACAACACTTGTTTTGATGCTTAGAGTATTTGACGCCGAGAGGTAATAGATGTAAATCGGACAATGAACTCCAAACGAACACAGATTATACTGTCACCATTTATTTGGACACATCATTCTTGAACAAATGAACACAGAATCTGGGTAAATTATAATATTTCACTAACCTAAATTAAGGCCACCGATCTTCCCTTTGGCCGCCCCCCCCCGTACGAGGGAAAAACATGTACTATGTGGCGCGCGCAGTTTCCTTGTAAAAATTCCAAATTTGGATAACCTGAATTTAAAATTCAACCGTAAAGTTCTAAATTTTCCAAGTTCCAAATTTAGATTTTTTAGAATTCAATTCTAAAATTCTTAAAAAAAACTATTTTTTTCCAAGCCTCAAAATTTGGATTTTTTAGAATTTTTAGAATTCAATTTTAAAATTCTAAAAAATCTATTTTTTTCCAAGCTTAAAATTTAGAAATTGCCGAATTTTTAGAACTCAATTCTAAAATTCTAAGAATTCCTGTTTAGTAACTTGATGCAAGGGAACTCACGGGTTTTTTGCGAAACATCCAAAAAGTCAGGTGAGCAAACAGTGTTCAAATCCTTCTGTCGTGCCGTCGTGCCTTTACAATGGTTGGTGACAGGATTTCCCACCTCATGGAGTGTAATTATCCCCAAAAGCTTGTGTGATAGAACCCCGCATAGTTAATCATTGGGCGCGCACCGAGTGATGCACCAAGACCCCGCTCCAAGCTTCTTTGTTGTCCGCAACTTCAAGCTCCCAGCGGACTTGTTGGAGCTCGGCCTCCTCAGGTGTCGCTGTTCGGAGATGAACGTCAAATACGTTTGGGAACATGGTTCTAAACCGCTAAACCATGGGAATTTGGGAGACAGACCCAAATTTCGTTATTGATTCAAGCGAAGTCGCCAGCGCATCCTGCACTAATATATAAACCCCCTTTTCGGGAAAACCCATGAAACTGGGCATCTCTGCGCGTTGA